ACTAGAACACACATGCTCCTGGTATCTTGCCTAGGGGTCCTCACAGGTCGTATTCAGCCAGTTCTCAACGGTTCTAGTGAACCGGTAGTGGAAATTTTGAGTAGTTTGGAGAACCGACAAATACCACTTCTGGCTGGCCCCGCCCCTGATCTATTCGCTGCCTCCTGAGTGCCAGTTGATTGGCTGGGGTCTTCTTCTGTTGCCCTGCACAGGAGAACGGAGCTGCAAAGCAGGTTAGTGGGATGGGGAAGGAATGGGGATTTTCCAGTATCCTTCCCCTGCCATGCCCACCAAGCCATGCCCACAGAACCGGTAGTAAAAAAAATTGAAGCTCACCACTGGTTTTGATCACTAGACCAAATTAGTCCAGACTAAAAAAATGTTATTCCTTAATGCTGCCACGTATCTACCAAGAACTGAAGGGCACAGATATGAAATATCGGAACCGAGTGAGGAGCAGAATTAGTAACCTGAAGGACCCCAAGAATCCTGGTTTGCGGCGCAATGTGCTGTGTGGAAGCATTCCGCCAGCTCTAATTGCCAAGATGACGGCAGAGGTCAGTAGGAAGAGGCGGCGTGTTGTTTTTCTCAGTCCCGTATAATACAAATAAAACTTGAATTTAACAAATTGGTTGTGTGGGGGAGAAATGGTCTGTTGAATGAGAGAGGGTGACCCCCGGGCACTTGAATGATGGCATCGTTATGCAAAAGCCAGATATTGTCACAGGGATTGGCTTTATTGTGTGCAAAGTCTGTTGTATCGAGATTTGGCACATCAGGTTTTAAAGCTATCTGTTTGTTAAACTTGATTACTTTAATTTAAATCTCCAATGGCATTTTAAAATATAAATATAGCAGCTATTTTAATGATACATGACAGTTGTTGCATATGTGGGTTCATGCAAATTTTATGCTCGTTATTGACTAAATAGATCAGCATAGCATAATGTAAGAGGGGGTGGGCTGCTGCAGGTTCGCACGGGTTCAGGAGAACCTCTAGCTAAGAATCTGCCCAGTCCCGACAGCCTGCAAATCCCACCCTTGGCTGGCCCCGCCCAATCCTCCCCTCCCCTCCCAGGAGTCCCCAAACAGCCTGTTTTGGATATCAGGTAAATACAGGGCCTGGGTTGGGTGGGGGCCCGAAAAACAGGCCTTCCGGAAGAGCCAGGGGAGGCCATTTTTGCCCTCCCGGAGGCTCAAGCAAAAGCATCTGGAGACTGGGAGGGTGAAAACACCCCCCTCCACCCCCCCAGTAGTACAGGAGGCTGGCTAGGCCATGCCCACCATAGCCATGCCCACCCAGCAACCAGGCAGAGAACCTGTTGCTAAAAGTTTTGAAGCCCACCCCTGAAGGTAGCCCTGTACAGGTAGTTCTCGACTTACGACCACCATTGAGCCCCACATTTCTGTTGTTAAGTGAGACACTCATTAAGTGAGTTTTGCCCCCATTTTACGACTCTTCTTGTCACAGTTGTCAAGTAAATCACTGCAATTGTTAAGTAGGGAACCCGGTTGTTAAGTGAATCTGGCTTCCCCGTGGACTTTGCTTGTCAGAAGGTCGCAAAAGCTGATCATATGATCCCGGGACACTGCAACGGTCATAAATAGGAGCCGGTTGCCCAAGAATCTGAATTTTAATCCCATCCCCATGGGGATGCTGCGAAGGTCATAAGTGTGTGAAAAATGGTCACAAGTCACTTTCTTCAGGGCTATAATAACCGCTGCAAGTCAGGGACTACCTGTATAGTATATAGGTGGTCCTTGACTTACAACCGTTAGTTTAGTAAACTGAAGCCAAAACCAAACAGGCTACATTATGGGTTAGTCAGCCATTGGTCTTTCCGGCTGTCCAGTTGATCTAAGCCTGCGATGGCAAATCTATGGCATGTGTGCCACAGGTGGCACGCGGAGCCATTTGTTAGGGCATGCAAGGTGTTGCCCTGTCAGCTGCACGCGCTGTTGAGCTTATTTTGGCCTTCATTTTTGGCCATTTTTCACCCTCTGGTGGCTTCTCTGAAGCGTCTGGAGGGCGAAAAAACAACCCAACACGCAAACCGGAAGTTCGGAAATGGACTTCCGGTTTGAGCGTTGGGCCGCTTTTCTCCCTCCAGACGCTTCAGAGAAGCCTCCTGAAGCCTCCGGAGGGCGAAAACCATCCCTATGGGCAACCTGGAAGTCCATTCCTGGACTTCCGCTTTGCGCTTTGGGCCGTTTTTTCTCCCTCCAAAGGCTTCAGGGAAGCCTCCGGGGCGGTGGGGGTCAGAGGCCGTTTTTGCCCTCCCCAGGTTCCTAGCAAGCCTCTGGAGCCTGGGAAGGGTGAAAAACGGGCCCATCATGTGCCAAAAGCAGGGGAGGGCAGAAGTCACGTGCATAGAATTATGGGTGTTGGCCTGCCCACGCATGCCCACCCCTGCGCTCCACCTGCTTTTGGCACGCGATGGCAAAAAGATTAGCCATCACTGATCTAAGTCTTTTAATGCCTCAACTGTAACCCACAAATTAAGAGCTCAACAATTTGTTGCTGTGTCCATACCCTGCTTTTAACCTTTTTAAAGGAAGCATTTTCTGGATTGCATAACCCATTCCCTAACCCAGTTCGCCTATCAGACAAAGTCACCCCTCCCCCCAAAAAAATCCCTCCTAACCAAGGTTTAAACAGAATTGAGCGTTGTGTGCCAGTGCTCTCACCAGCTTTGGAACCGAACCAGGGGTGGGTTTCTCGCCCCGTTCCAACCGGTTCAGTTGGACCGGGGCCGGTGGCGTCCTTGTGCACACGCGCAGCGCACACATGCGTACTAGCGTCTGTGCGATGCTCTAGCTGCTCCT